TTCCGATTTATATGACTGATTTCTTGCTTAAATAGTAAACAAATGAGCTGTGACTACTGCTCAAAAGATGCTCACCAACTGGTCCACTGTCATGTACTGTTTGCATATTAAACGCTTGATAACAAATCTGATTGGCCAAAACTTAAAAACTAACATGACAGCAAAGCAACAATAATTTCACATGGGATGGGCAGGGCCCGGCTCAACAGTAGAAGTAAAAAAGCTTCGACTTTAGCTCCTATTTTTATGGAAGGCCCCAAGAGGAACCATGTGAAGCCCTGTCAGTTTTAAACATGATTTATAAATCTGATACGAAATATGACATAAACCCAATTAGTTATAGACAATTATAAATGTGTTAATTATGTATTAAACTAATTTTGACAGAAACCGACTTAAAAAAGACACCAACTTTTGAGGCGACCCAATTCGAACCCTAGTAAGGCATGTAAGTGAGGATGAGGGAAAGGGGATTCGAAAGACAAGACTTGCAAAACCAGACCACCTTAGCATCAGCTAGTTGTAGGAGGAGGGTTTGTGCAGCCTTGTTAATAACTGATCATTTTCACTTCCAACACGGCTATGTGGGACATGCATTTTAGGAAAACAAGCTCATCTTTCTCAGTTAATACCAAAGGTAATAGTCTTATTTTACAAAATGCTCATTAATCAAGGAGTATCATCAACCTAATCTCCTGCATATGCTAATAAGATCCTCTGTTTGAGAATACTTGTCTGTTAGGGATTGAAGTAGAATCTGATAAAATTTTCCATCCGAATAACTAAATTATGCTGAATTTTTTAGCATATTTTATATTAATTTTACCATCTATTATAAACACACATAATTCAAATAGTAGTATATTGAAATATAAATTGATGAAAATATGATATAATAAATTCGAATTTCAAATTTTAATTCATATTTAATAAATTGAATTCAAATTGGAGGTCAATTTTCTGCTCAAAATTCGCCAACTACCTGTCGCCTAGACCCTGCTTGAGGAGGGTATGCACCTTGTTTGGATTTTTTCAACCACTCAAGCTACATGGTACTCATTCGTCCACACTACATATCCGATTTCAAGGAAACAGAAAAAGCAATGCAACCAACTTGGACCCCAAGAAAAAAAAACTTGGACCCCAAGACAGTTGGGTTGACAGATGATAGGAGAAAAATTGGATTCCTCTAAACTCATTTTATTTGGAACGGAAATAGATTATATGTATTAGACAATAGATGTATACAGAGATACTTGTATAAAATCCTTCACAAATGGATGCGGGGTGAACCAAAATTTATCCTCGCCCCCGCCCTCACTAAACCCGTTAGATATATATATTCTCTTAAATTAGGGCGCCGATACCTAAATCTTAATAGATATATATTTATGCATCATCAACTTTAATTCAAGAAAATAATATATATATATATATATATATATATATATATATATATATTATTGTTATTGTTTTTACTCAATTATGCAAAGATTATGTTGTTAACTTATTTCTTTATTTTTGGTTTTGATCATATCATGAAATACAAGCATATACGCATACAACTTGTACTTTAAATGCTAAATTTTTTTTTAATTTTTTTCTTAAAATTACAAAAATTAATTGTAAAGGGTGGGGGCAAAGACAGGTGGCGAGGATCAAAATTTAAATGCGGAGCGGGAATAAAGATTAAAACTTACCACGCTAATGAGGGTGGACTGCGAATGAACAAATTTTTTGAGAGAATATACCCCGCCCCATCCTGACCCTGATCCAGTAACATTCCTGAAGAGAGTGCCAACATGCCACGAAAAATGCCTGACCTTCTCTCTTTATGTCAAAGTCTTGGCCTTTTTTCACGCACCCCACGTCTACATACGGTCGTGTCGGGTTGAGTCGGATTTTAAATTTTTTATAAATTATATTGTGTTAAAGTTGATTTAACTAATATAAAATTGCATATAAGTAGGCTCATGTCTTGTTTAGTCAATTTTGTGTTGACTTATTGAGTAAGTAGACGAGATCACCTGTTTATCTTTTGAATTGGGTAAAGTAAAAGTTTAAACCGCTAATTTTGTATTGATTTTATTTTGGAATCGGGGGTTTCATGTCTAAAATTATTAAGAGTAACCTACCCTCAAGCCTTGGAGGGAGAGGATTGTTGGGTTTAAGAGTTGCAGGTACAAGGAATGCAATTTTATTTATTAGATTTTTTTAGACATTCAAATATAATGAATATTTACACATAGTAACGCTATAATAAAAGGGTAGACATCTCCCCCTGTCATTTTTAATCATGTAGTTTTGTTCCGTGGTGTAAAATTATTCAATGAAAGAAAATACATAAGTAATTTTTGAGAAATTTGAATTGGTCATTACATAATAAATTTCGAATACCTACGATCATCTGCTAACTATATTAATTGGTTAAATTTGAGAATCACCAATAACTATCGCACACAAAACATTTAAATTTAAGAAAATGCTACATAATTCAAATGAAATCCAACAGTTTAAACTCAAATGCATATCATTTTTTGGATGAGCGTGAGATGAGTGAATTTCATAAAAAATTAATAGCATCCACTCATCTAAGGAATGATTTATATTTGGATTATAATTTTTTAGATTTCATTAAAATTTTAGCACATTACTCTTAAATTTATGATTTATTCCAATTCAAACCCCACGCTATTGTGCTACTCATGCGGGTTGTTGTGATGGAATTTTGTCACCGAGTTTCCGTGGGAAAGAGGATATTCAAGACTTGTCCAAACCACCCAATTTCTACCTTTTTTGTCCTAAAGCATGAAGAAGAGACTTCTATGCCAGCCGGGAATAACGGCTGCACTAACGGCCGTGTCCTTGGCTCCCACGAAGATTAGTTCTTTCCCTCACTTGCTGAGATGGTGAGACAGGGGTCCTCACAGAAGGGGGGTTGTTGGATCTTGCAGACTGCTCACCACTTGGTTTATGGGAATCCGTACTCTGTCTTGTTTGATATCTTGCTTTATTACTAGTTTAAATTTAAATATAAAAAAAAGAATTCAGCGGTGATTCTGGTGAACCTGTCTTAAATAGATAAATTATACCTATATCCCTTCATGTTTATTATTTAATTATTAGAATCATTCACATTTAAAATATTACTGTTACACCTCTTAACGTTTGTGCACGTGTAATTTATAACTCATTGTCATTAATATCTGTTAATATAACTCATAAAAAAATATTATTTTATCTTAGTAAAAAATTATAATTTCATATTACCATTTATTTTGTGGGTCCGTTATACTCTAAAATTTAAAATCAAATTTACCATTTGAATGTCCAATATAATGCATGTATTTATATAATATTTTTTATATCCAATACAATATATCACTTAAATAGAATTATTTAAATGTCCAATTGAAAGAACTTTTTTAATCATATTTAAATTCTTAAGGGATGTAGGTGCAATAAGTAGAACTATAGGAATGAAATGAAAAAATGTTTCTTACGATTATGTCCAACAACCAACTTGAACAATTTGCCATTCTGGCATCCGTCTACTCATAAGCCAGATGAAATGATGATGTCTGAGCGTCATATTTTCTGCTCAACGAAAACACCTCATCGATATCCCACTCTCATGGCAGATTGGTCCAATCCAATGTTTGAGAAGAGGTTGGTTTCGAAGTCGATAAAAGGGAGCAACGATCCCCTTACTAAGAAGTTGAGACCAAATCCGGAAAGAGATTAAAACGTGAGGGGTCTAGGTGATCAAGGGATTTAAACGTGGGAGAGTTTAAGTGTAATTTATTCATTTAATTTTAGATGACAAACTGACGGTTGTTAATTTGAGGTGTGCGTTGATACAATTTTTTATTTTTGATGGTACAAATTAAAATTTTTTATTATTGAGGGTACAAATTAAAATTAAAATTCAAACATTTTTTCAGAGTATAATTTGAGATTGTCCCTAATATTTATGTCGTATTTAATTTGTGTCGTGTTATATTCATATAATATTATTGAATTATAAATTGATTCATGTACTTTTGTCGTGAAAATATTGTGACACTACCTATCCATGTCTAAATCACATCGTTTTTAAATGATATATATAACTTGTAATTTTGAAATTCAAGACTATTGCCGAGTTTTCTCAAAAACAAACCCAACACACATTTCTCTAATAAACTAAGAATTGACTCAGATCAATAATATTCTAATAAACCAAAGTTAAATTATTTAAGAAATTCAATCGAGCACACCAAACCTAATGAAAAATAAAAAAAAAATTCAATGCAATATTAATTGAGTGTGTCGTGTCAAATTTAAATTAGTTGTGTTTGATTATAGTCTGACTCGCTTATATTTATTTAATAAATTATTTTATTTTCAAGTTCATGTCGATAACTAACAACGGATGAATTTAACCAATTAAATTCGAATCATGTCAGTTTGTTCGTCAAAAATTATCACTCGTCCTATCAAGTTAGGTTTCTGAAATATTTTTAAATAATTTTTTAGCTTTTTAATTGTCATACAAATCTTTATGTCTGAGATTTAATACACCACGCAGGACAATGGATCCGTTATATACCAACCCAAATCCTCTTAAATTCTTCTCCTTGTGCTTGAGTTAGGTTTAATGGCGTAGAATTTTCAATTCCAAAGGATCCAAAACATCTCTACAATAATGTCAACTTTTCCAACCCCACCAAACATTCAGCCACGTCTCTCATTCTCCTACTTTGAAAAAGCGCAAAAAAAAAAACAATAATAAAATAAAAATCTCATCGGGTAGGTGAATGAAAATCAAGGGTCCAGATTCATCTTCAACCAACCCCCACATTGGACAGCCTGCCACCTCTCCCCAGCCTCACCCACCTCATGCTTACCTACCAAAATCTCTATGTACAGTCAAAGCTACTCTCCATAGTCTATCTATATAAACCAAAACTCTTATACACCATAACACAGGAACTTCATAGCCAACCACAAGTTCCTCTCTCTCTCTCTCTCTCTCTCTCTCTCTCTCTCTCTCTCTCTCTCTCTCTCTCTCTCTCTCTCTAAACTTATAGTTCTTCAAGAAATGGACAGTGCTGCCATGGAAAATGGGCATTCAAATGGGGTGACCATGGATTTTTGCATAAAAGATCCGTTGAACTGGGGTGTGGCAGCTGAGTCACTAATGGGTAGCCACTTGGATGAGGTGAAGAAGATGGTGGCGGAGTATCGGAAGCCGGTAGTGCGGCTTGGTGGTGAGACGCTGACAATATCGCAGGTGGCGGCGATTGCTGGCCTTGATAATGCTGTCAAGGTGGAGCTGTCGGAGGCGGCGAGAGCCGGAGTTAAGGCCAGCAGTGACTGGGTTATGGAGAGCATGAACAAGGGTACGGATAGTTATGGTGTCACCACTGGTTTTGGTGCTACTTCACATAGGAGGACCAAGCAAGGTGGTGCTCTTCAGAAAGAGCTTATTAGGTAACCAAACTCCCTCCCCATCTTAGAATTATTTTAAAAATACCAAAAATGCTATTTGAACATAAAATACTGTTGAATTTTAATATAATGTTCTAACAAATACCCCAGGTCTTACAACTAAATTAATGATAATTGATTGATTAGAATAACAAATCATTTAGGTGGAGGTACTGTTACTCTAAAACTATGAAGAAGCAAAAGAAAATCAGAAACAGAGGACTACCGTACAAAATTGAAAACAACATATGATACATATATCCCAAAATCACCTCTGGACGCCAAAGGAAATGTTCTGATTCATCGAATCAGCTGATCTATACCCATAACAGTTTCATTTTTTTTCTGGTCAGATTCATATATAATTCAATTTAATGGAGTTTATCGTGAACGGTAATGATGATTAAGTCTTGACTCTTCCACCATCACCAATAATTAAAGAGACCACATAGTCATATATTATGGGCCCACAATGTTGGAAAAGAGATGGGGATGGAAGACTTAATGGAAAATCTGTGAAATGAACTGTCTGTCACAACACATGTGCAGTAGCCATAAATATCAACGGATTGTATTTATTACATGTACAAAACAAGAAAATTTATTGTACTAAGGTTAAACTGGACTATAAGCATGTTAGACCCATCTGGTATTAATTTTGCTCGATTCTTTTAATGCTAAGATTAATTGTGACCAATTCAAGCAGGATCCATAATCTTTAAGTAGATACCCCCCCCCCCCCCCCCCCCTAAAAATAATAACAAAAATAAAAATTATGACAAATTGCAGGAATGAAAGGTGTCCTTCTAATAGATAGTTTCACTCATATTTCTTTGTAAATTTTCTAGGAAAAAAATATAAGTTTGGGGGAAGTTGTGAAAGTATAATTTTGTGACAGGTTTTTGAATGCTGGGATCTTTGGCAATGGAACAGAGTCTTGCCACACACTTCCACACTCAACAACAAGAGCAGCCATGCTCGTAAGGATCAACACCCTTCTTCAAGGCTACTCCGGCATTAGATTCGAAATCCTGGAAGCAATCACCAAGTTCCTCAACCACAACATCACTCCATGTTTGCCCCTCCGTGGCACGATCTCTGCCTCCGGTGACCTTGTCCCCTTATCCTACATAGCTGGACTACTCACCGGCCGGCCAAACTCCAAGGCTGTTGGACCCACTGGAGAAACCCTCGATGCAGAGGAAGCATTTCGTCGTGCTGGAGTCAGTGGTGGATTCTTTGAGTTGCAGCCCAAGGAGGGCCTTGCACTTGTCAATGGCACTGCTGTTGGTTCAGGCTTGGCCTCTATGGTTCTTTTTGAGGCCAACATACTTGCTGTGTTGTCTGAAGTTCTATCAGCTATTTTTGCTGAAGTGATGAATGGAAAACCTGAATTCACTGACCATTTGACTCATAAATTGAAGCATCACCCGGGCCAAATCGAGGCTGCAGCTATCATGGAATACATTTTAGATGGAAGTTCTTATGTTAAGGCAGCTCGGATGCTACATGAGATGGATCCTTTGCAGAAACCAAAACAGGATCGTTATGCTCTTCGAACATCACCCCAGTGGCTCGGTCCACAGATTGAAGTGATCCGTTCAGCGACCAAAATGATTGAGAGGGAGATCAACTCGGTTAATGACAACCCTTTGATTGATGTTTCAAGGAACAAGGCCTTACATGGTGGTAACTTCCAGGGTACCCCAATTGGTGTGTCTATGGACAATACGCGTTTGGCCATTGCATCGATTGGAAAACTCTTGTTTGCTCAGTTCTCCGAGCTTGTTAATGACTTCTACAACAATGGGTTGCCTTCCAATCTCTCTGGTGGACGAAACCCGAGTTTGGACTATGGTTTCAAGGGAGCTGAGATTGCTATGGCTGCATACTGTTCAGAGCTTCAATTTCTTGCAAATCCGGTCACTAACCATGTCCAAAGTGCTGAGCAACACAACCAAGATGTGAACTCCTTGGGCTTAATATCTTCACGAAAAACTGCTGAAGCTGTCGATATATTGAAGCTCATGTCATCGACATATCTTGTGGCACTGTGCCAATCTATTGATTTGAGGCATATTGAGGAGAATTTGCAGAACACTGTCAAGAATACAGTAAGCCAAGTGGCTAAACGGACTCTGACTATGGGTGTTAATGGGGAACTTCATCCATCAAGGTTTTGTGAGAAGGATTTGCTTAGAGTTGTGGATCGTGAACACGTCTTTGCCTATGTCGATGACCCCTGCAGTGCCACCTACCCCTTGATGCAAAAACTGAGACAAGTTCTCGTTGAGCACGCTTTGAACAATGGCGACAATGAGAAGAATGTGAGCACTTCGATCTTCCAAAAGATTGGTGCTTTCGAGGATGAACTTAAGGCCCTGTTGCCAAAAGAGGTCGAGAGTGCAAGAACTTTGGTTGAGAATGGGAATCCAGCAATTCCTAACAGAATTAAGGAGTGTAGGTCTTACCCATTGTACAAGTTTGTGAGAGAAGAGCTGGGGATGGAGTTGCTGACCGGAGAGAAGGCTCGATCACCAGGAGAGGAGTTTGACAAGGTGTTCACTGCAATGTGCAAGGGAGAGATTATTGATCCACTGTTGGATTGTCTCAAGAGTTGGAATGGTGCCCCTCTTCCCATCTCCTAGTTCAAGTTTGCTGCTCTTGGAACATTGCTTTACATCTTCTACTGTCTTGATTTTTTTTCCCCCTTTTTATTGTTTGTAGGCTAAAATTTAAGGATGTGAGACTATCTGTTAGTACTTATGTATGTAATTGGTGTTGCTCTTGTTCACTGCAATAATTGAAAATGAGGTGGATTTCCAATTCGTGTTACGATTTTTGATTAATTAATCTTTATTTATTTTACAATTTTTTGGGGGCATGAATCATAGGGGAAAACCACAAATGGCTGTAGCACAAACCAAGAGTTGGATTGGAGCCTCGAGCCTTGTTTGAATAGCTTGTTTTGCTTTAAAAAAACCCAAGGTAAAACTGAGAAAAAAAAACAAAAATGAGAGAGATCAAATTATTTCTTTTCTTAAAATTTCTCAAGATTTATTGATGTTTGATAATGACTTTGCAAATTTCTGAGGCCTTTTTTTTTTTTTGGCTGATTGACCTGATCTCCCTCATTCCTCTCAACCAAACCCGCTTCATGAACTTGTACAATTGATACCACAGCGATAAACAATTCTATTGTGGAAGAAATAAAAAAAAGGGGTGACGATATGACACCAAATATTCAAAGGTGTAGAAAGAACAGTAGTAAGAATCAGAAAAGAGAACTAGAGCAGCTCTGACAATTAGGTATATCAAAATTCGACACGATACGATTAATTGACACAAATTGACATGAATTAAGTGGATTTTAGTAAGACCTTAACAGGTTTGGATGGTAAATGGATTGACCCGTCTAACATGTTTAATAAACGGCTCATGTTCGGATAAGTCATGTCAACCTGTTTATCACCGTTTATTCATTTAAATAAAATTAATATAATAATAAATTAATAATTATTTTCAAAAATTAGGCAAATTTTTTGTAATGACAGCCACAGCATATATATATATATATATCATTTTTAGTGATAGCCACAGATTTTTTTTTTAATTAGTGATAGTCACAAAAAATATAATAATAAATTAAAACTAAACAAGTTAAACGAGTCGTGTCGTGTTACCCGTTTATTAAATGGTTCGTGTTCGTTTTGGAGTTTTTTACTCGTTTATTAAACGAGTCGTGTATAAATTTACATATTTTTCACACGTCTCACGTTTAGCCCGACACGTTTGACACCCCTACTTACGACTCCTCCACCCAAGAAGGAGGGATTGCAACGACGAAAAAATAAATAGATAAAGGTTGCAAAAACCAACAAAAATAACGTCTCTAGTGAAAAGTTGGATATATTACAAAGTTCATGTGTTTTTTAAAAATCTTCTCCTAAATTCTCTTAAAATAATTTTTCATGATGTATCTAATATATTGTAACAAACTTTGATCAAGGGCACAACATTACAACTAGGGGCAGCGCCAAGATTTCTTCTTAATGGGGCCAAATGGGAGCATAAAAAAATATTTTTATTTATGTAAGTCACTTAATAAGATCGTTAATATCAAATTTTTATATACATAGAACATATAAAAAATAAGGTTATTTGCTAGGCAGATGGAGTGTGAGGAGATTGTGTTGGAAGGAGACTCATCTATTGTGATGAAGATGATAGCCGATACTAATGAGGATTTTTCTCCTTTGGAATCAATTATAACAGATGTTAAGTGATTTCTACTTAGTTTTCGTTCTTTCTTTGTTTCTACAATAAGACGAACTAAAAATTGTGTTACGCATCAGCTTGCTAGGAGGGCTAGATGCTATGAGCACTTTAATGTTTGGGAGGATATGCCACTAGATTTTTTAGTGTCATTACTATGTTCAAATTTTTGTACTTAATATATATTCTATCGTTTCTGTCCAAAAAAAAAAACATAAAAGAATCAACCTCACATGATGTAATATAACTATTATTTTTTTAAAAATAAATAATATTATTAGTGTTGGAGTAAAAGATGACTCCAACTGTTCTGAAAGCTGTTTGTGGTTGATCTGTGTCTGGATACACCTTTTCCCGAGTTTTGAGTAAAGTTTTTGGCAATTGTGATACTTGAAAAGAAAATTGAAGACCAAAGAAGAGCTGTAGGGGTTAACCCTCCAACACCCAAGTTATTATTTGGAGAAGTTAAGGTACAGTAATTGAACTGGGCTTAGTGTGCTTACTTGGGTCTTACACCGGAAGTTTTCTTTTATAGTATTTTGATAGGTGTTCCAGAGAGAGTGGACTATAAGCTCTTCTGATAGTTTGAATTTGTCAAATCTCCTTTTGATTGATGAGTCTTAGCTTTTGTGGACTTTATCCTTTGTTGAGATAACTATTCAAAGTCCCAACTGTGCTATGAGTTTGTTTGATCGCACGGATAAGGCTTGCCAAGGATGAGATCTTATGTGTATCCCTTGACTGTCTTACATTCCTCATAGTATTTAAACAAATTCAGCTTGTTGAATGAGTCTTTAGCAGATAAAGTTCCTATTTTTAATATTGGGGATAAGTTTTATCATCTTTTTTGTTTCCTCATTCCACCAGGTTGGAGAAAGCTGATTATCTTAACTCATTATTCCTCCATTTTCCTTTCTTTCTAACAGGTCATTCAACGATTGCATTTTCTAAAGGCAGTGTCTATGAAGCTCCTAAAACCGGGAGTCCTTTATTGACCGTTGACCATCCATCAACCCGCGAAAATACCCGTTAATGTCGCATAACCCAACACCACGGCACGTCATCCCTGTTTTTGGGATCACAACAACACAACATTTGGGTAGAGTCTCCCTTGTACCAAGCACTCCCGAAACGCATAACATGTGTATGTCTCAACACATGACTCATCCAATGTCCAATATACATCAATTTAAACTTAATTATTGTCGATTTATATCATTAGAATAAAAGGGCTCAAGGCCTCGAAGCGCAAGAAATCATTTTTAAAATTTCAGATTTTTGGAAAACTTTCTAGAAGGTTTTTTGACAGATTGGCATATTTTCCCTATTTTCGATTGTCAATTCACTCCAATCCATTTCAAATCAATCCAATACATGTTTAATGAATTTTTTCACATAAAACATGATGCATACAAGTTTAATTACAATCATTTCCACATATTACATGTCAAAAATAAAGTTTTCACAAAGTTTTTACAAAATGAGCTATAAAAGCCACAAGTCAATTTTCTTCATCCTTGAGGCTCGAAATGGGAGTCGTCCGCCGGTGTGAACCCCGCACCTGAAATATTGTCCCATAAAGGGTGAGTCACGCTCAATAGGGTATCTCCTAAAGAGACTACTCCCCAAACCTAGATACATATGAAATATTCACATGCAACAATCCACAATGCCATGAAATGAGATGAGACTCACTCACACACATCAACCTAAGCCCTTCCCGGCTCCTCAACACATGCAAGTGTCAATGTATGTGAATATGTCATCTATGTTATACATCAAATGACATTTACAAATCTAGGGTCTTTTTTGAGGTAGGTATTCATGGACTTACATCAAGGGTAATTCAACCCACACGAAATTTATGGACTTCTACCAAGGGTTCCGCGTACACCCACACACTTTATGGACCGAACCAAGGGAGTGCGTATCCCAACTACCGAGTTTTGCACCCAAGGGATCTTCTATCCCTTCTTGTTAACCCCAACCTAATTTATTGTGCAAACCATGTGACTCAACCAGGCCTTCGACCCAACTTTTCCAAGCCCACCCGTCATCCACCAAATGTAGTGTTGACGACAACCATACACTCACACACCCTCATGATGCAATGTCCCCGTGCATATGCAATGTGATGTACCATTGCAACAACAATATAATGTTCAATATACTATGAATGACATATGAACTATTTCAACACATTTCATGGGCAATTATAGCCAAACATATAATTTTCATAACTCATCAATGTCAATATATCATAAGTATGTATATATATCAACAATTCCTACGACACAATTTTCAAGCGTGTTATCACATAATCATGCTATCAACACACTAAATTCATCAAGGTATAACATAACCACATAATATGCCCACAATTCACATAACTCAAAAATCATATTAGGTTAATCTCACATATCCAATTCAAGATGAAATTTATTTTACTTATTTTTCATACTCATTTCACCAATCCCATCACAATAGGCAAGGGTTAAAATTATCTAACCACCCACCCATTCCATATAAGCATTCTAGGTTAAAAATAAACTTAATTAGGATAAAACTCTACCTCTTGAAGCGTAAACGACGTTGAAAAGCTTTAAGAACCCGATTCAAGCTAGAATCTTTACTTGCCCAAAATCCCGTCCTTAGAATTTTACCCAAACCCGACCTCCATGATATGGTCTTGTAGCTCTCGACGAAGAGAACAATTTTTGTTCTTTAACCGAGTGAATTAGAGCACCGACCTCCGTAGATCGTAGAGAAAAGATGGAGAGCCCAAGTTTTTCCCCCTCTTTCTCCCTAACATGAAAACCAGCAGACCAAATGGGGAGAAATCTGATATTTCTCCCCTTTTTATACTCCCTAAACACTTGGTACTCATTGCGCCACATGACCCTATTTTTTTGAGTTTGTTTTCGTCCCGGTTCAAATTTAAAATATTTTTATTTTAACTTACTTTAAATTAATTTTTAACTTTTGAAATTTTATTTAAATTTTCGTTTTTGATTCACGCGAGACTCGACCGTCTCATAAAACGTGAAAATTCCAACTATCTCAAAATTCGACGAAAATTGACAGGATAATTAGATTTCCCGAGTCAAATCCAACGGTGAGGTCCGTTTTGTCATCTGAGCTCTAGAGAGATTCAGGTTTTCAACCCGTACCGTAGTGATAAATTACTATTTTGCCCGTTTTTGTAAAAAGTTCAAATTTATCCGGATTTTATAGTGCCAACTAAAATCTTTCCTTTAGTTGAGATTAAATTTTTCCCCATCAGTTGCCCCTAATCAAGTTTCCAAGCTAGTGGAAATTTCCTCCGGTTAAAAATCTAATCGTTACCTATCTTCGATTCTTGAAGCGCAATAACTACGCGTATTTTCAGATGAGGTAGGTAGGGTTTTTGTAACCGCCATCTCTTGACCTATTTAAAGGGCATTTAGAGTCTTTGGATTGGTAAAATTTTCCTTCCCTCATTGATCTCTCTCCTCAGAAAAAAGAGCTATTTGTTCTCCTTTTAGGTTCTTCCAAGTCGAAAACACTTAATTCATTTTTTTCCTTGCTACTCTTACTTTTCATGGCTTCTGAAAAATCTTCATTAGAAATTCCCTCCCCTTTCTGTTCAAGAGTCAGGAATAGAGGAGGCTAGACTTATGAAGAATATTCGAGAAGAGACCCTTGAGACCCCTAGTTACTTTACTAGGGGGTTTGTAGTACCATTATCGATATTGATCTTTCTGGTCTTTCGCTCCAAATTCTACAATTTTTATTCCATCTTATTGAGAGCTCTTGGCAGTGATGAAAAAACTTGTGATTATCATGAAGGGAGGGTTTGTATGTATGAAGCAACCTTCAATTGTAGATTCAATTTTCTTTCTTTTTTATGTTTGCGAATTCTTATCTTTCTTAAACATTGTTCCTACCCAACTCACCCCAAATAGTTTGAGGGTGTTGATTGGGTTTAGTGCCTTGTGAAGTTATGTCCATGATGTTGGCGTTTTTCCCACTGTTGGGGAGGTTCTACATTCCTTTCAAATTAAGGTAGGACCAAGTTTGGGCCGGTATTATTTGACGAAGAAGGCGGACTATGCTGATTTGTTGACAAAATTCTTCTCCTGCCAAAGAATGGAAAGATAGTTTCTTCTTCATTTCTGGTTTTCAATGGGAATTTAATCCCTCTGAACCTCTGGTTGCAACCCCTACAAGGGTTCTCTACAAATAAGGTGTAATATCTACCTCTGCCTGTGGTAAGTTTCTTGATTCATTTTCTTGAATTCCTTTTTTATTTCAAGAAACCAAGAAATAAGAGATTTTACAAAGGCCAATCTGCATAAACTGAAGATGAGACCTAAACCTCCCACTCTTGATGTTGTATCTCTGAAAAGTGAGTTCTCTATTTTATCTATTCATGTTTGCGCTATGTCTCACCTTTTTTCTCTCATCTTGTGAGATTTCTATTGCAGGCTTGGCTTCTCAGCTTTATAAAAGACTGGGTAAAGAGGGTCTTAGAAGTGTGAGAGCTAAACAACATAAGGAAGGATTCAGCAACCCTCCCTTGTCAATTTCAAAAAGACTGAGGTCTTGCGACTCATCTGCTTCCAGGTCGCCCTCAACAATTTCTAACTTCAAGGAGCCAATTGGTGTGGAGTCTTTCCACGGTATTCCTTTAATCAAGAAAATGAGGACTATTGAGGGCAAGATATTTGCCTCTATTCCTGGTGATGCTTTAGCTCCTAAAACCAAAATCATTGTTTCGACAGTCTGGAGCAACAAAGAATTTAATGTGAAGTGATTTTAGGATATTATCCGAGGGACAGAGGTGGAAAAGATAGTGAATATGGGGTCCCTGAAAGTTTTTAAGTGCATAGCCCATCACTTTGGGAAGGTAGTACATATCCTCCCTTCTCCCTATTCTTCCATGTTCTTATTCTAATATGGACTTTCTTTGGGCAAATTTCTTCCACTATACTATTGATTTGATCATATAATATATGATCAAATCAATAGTGGTAAGTGAAATTAGTGTTGTTGATGTAGAAATTAGTCCTCTTGACTATTGATTTTAATTTAACAATTTATAAACATTTTAAGTCCAACTAAAAGGTCCCAAAAAAATAATTCCAATTAGAAATTTTAATTTCAATAATTTACGTTCATGATCCAACCCATAAAATTAGAAATTTAAAAAATCGAAAATTAAAAAAGCAACTAAAAGAATAAAAAAAAAGAGTAATATTATTTGGACCTAAAAATCTGATTTAATTTGTTGACCTAATGATGTGACTTCATTGAAACAATTGAACCAATACTAAATTTCAATATTTGATAAAGGACACAGTCAATTCAAAACCATAGTGAATTATGCCAGTAAATTAGGTTAATAAATTAAATTCCAATAGCATTGCTTTAAAAACAATCTACTCAAAAGTGAAGGCGTATTTATCTCACATTTACTCCCTCTCTAATAAAATATAAAAGCATAAGTTAAAACATCTCTTTGCAACATTGACTCACTCTCCTCTATCACACCCGGAAAAAATTAAAAATAAATTAATTTTTGATAAAATTTTAATATTAAAAATAAAAGGTCTCATTTGGTATTATTGCTTTATGTCTCAAAATATCTTGGGCCGCCCTGCAGTCTTATTTTATCAAATGAAAATAGATATCAAAACAAGAATAAATAAATAAATAAACAAAGAAAAAGACAGAGAATATCTATCATTCATATTTTATCACTTCAAAGAGTTGAAGACTACTGTAAGAAATTTAATTGTTACATTATTATTAGATAAAATGAATAAATATGCTACCGTTATTTTTTTTTAAATGTTATAATTAGTGGTGTTAAAAGATAAAATGACTCGTTAATTTGATACAAAACTAAAGGGGTTAAGTTTTCTGTAAGTTACTGATTTCATAAGTTATTGTTCATAAGCGTATAGATCTGACACGATACGATTAATAAATAAATCGCATACAAATAAAATTAACTAAAAAATATATACAAAGTAACTCGTTAATATATTATTATTTAAAATTCATATATGATACAAATTCGATATAATATAATTTATTAATTTTTTATTTTTTGACATTACAATTCATGTACATTGACTAATCCTTTTTTTTTTTTTAATATAATCTCCCTGAAATCAGAGACGAACTTGTCCGATCCCATACGATTGATAACAAAGAATTCAAAATGACCTAGGCACCCCTCGACTGCGTTTTTTCCTTGTATTTTTTTTACCCCTTCGACTGTTGACGTTACATTGAGTGGTAGGATCTGCTGAAACAGAATGCTTGTTTCCTCAGTTGTGTCTCTCTCTCTCTCTCACCATAAGAAAGTTCTTTGTCTTTTTTATTGATTGATTGGGTTTTGGTCTAGAAACGAATCGTTCCTTAATGGCTTCCCAAATTGCGAGACGCATGCTTCGAAGTTACGCGAAGGGTATCTTCTGTAGCCCTAAGAATTCAGGAGCTAGGGTTTTCGATCGAAACTTCACTACAGCCGCGTCTGAATCCAATCTGATCCGAGCCACACTCTTCCCTGGCGATGGTATAGGTCCCGAAATCGCCAATTCCGTCAAACAGGTCCATATCTTCGATCCGAATTATATATGTGTATTATGGAGAACAAAGCATATATTTTGGCTGTTGATTCCCTTTTATATGTTTCATGTATCATTTGTTATTATAGCTTGTGAAATATGGTTTGTGAACTGATTAGCGCCTGAATATTGTGTTCTATGTGAATTGTTTCTTCTCGAAAATTTGTTCAGTGTAGTGATTAACTCTGAACGGAATTGTTTTAAAAGGATTTGATCGCGTATATGGTCTAACCGAATACCCTTTATAATAGAGCGTAATTGAGAAACATTATTCATGTAGCCGACCCCAAATAGTTTAAGGTTTGTTGAGTTGAGTTTTACAATACTGTATCGTGAGCTTGAAAATGAAATTTAAAAAGGACTATTTCAAATTTTGTACATTCTACTGTTTTTCTTGAAGCTTTTGTACCGCCAAACTACTGCTTTTGTCTTTAGGCTGGCCCCTTTTTAAAGGTATTATTTTTAGCTGGCATCTGGATTTGCTTAGCTTGCTCAAAAGATTAAACAACAACGAAATATCAGTATGAAATTTCAGAATGGGTAGTTTTCATATTCTATTCGGGTGCATAAAATTGAATTTTGTTTTACTCTGTTTTGTCTGCAAGCAAAGAAAGTATTTCTGTAATTCTTGTATTTTGTGCTATTTTGTGTTCTTATAATCGAAAATCTCACTCCATCTCCAATGGGTGGGTACGTTTAACTTCCGTGCTCGTTTTCTCGATATCACTAACATATGTAAGACTTGAAAATCCTTGATACCCTTTCCTTACAATCTAGAGCAAGGATTATATTTTTTTGAAACACAGGCGAGGGTTAATTGTATTGCTGGACAAAATTTATGATGTGCGGCATATTGGGAGTAATATCTAACTAGTCTACATAAAAAAATGTCTTAGTTCCTCTTTCTTTCTGCTTTTGCAGCTGGTGAAAGGATTGTGATTGCTTTGGAACTTTCATTCTGACGTTACTTTTAAATTTCACTGAATTTTGTCATTTGTACGCATGCAGATATTTAGCTCTGCTGATGTGCCCATTGAATGGGAAGAACACTATGTCGGGCAGGAGATAGATCCTCGAACCCAGAGTTTTCTCACATGGGAAAGTCTAGAATCTGTTCGAAAAAACAAGGTTGGCTTAAAAGGACCAATGGCCACCCCAATTGGAAAAGGTCACCGCTCGTTAAACCTTACTTTGAGGAAAGAGCTAAATCTGTATGCCAATGTTAGACCTTGCTACAGTCTGCCTGGATACAAGACTAGGTATGATGATGTTAACCTCATCACCATCCGCGAAAATACAGAAGGAGAGTACAGTGGTCTTGAACATCAAGTAAGCTTGTTTGAATAATATGCAAATGCACACACAATAATAGGTGTTGCATATACATTTGATGGATTTCCTTGCATCTGATGCTAGGTGGTGAGGGGTGTTGTCGAAAGCCTCAAGATCATTACTCGTCAGGCAAGTTTGAGGGTGGCTGAGTATGCTTTTCACTATGCTAAGACACATGGAAGAGATAGAGTGTCAGCAATACACAAAGCTAACATCATGCAGAAAACCGATGGTCTTTTTCTTAAGGTCATCCTGTTTCAAGTGCATAAATTTTATGTCTTAGGGTGTTCTCCTTATGCCTACCCGTACTAATTTTTTTTTTCTCTCCACTTGCAGTGTTGTCGTGAGGTTGCAGAGAAGTACCCTGAGATCAAATATGAGGAAGTTGTCATTGACAATTGTTGTATGATGGTATGAACATTTTCCTTTACCAAATGTTTGTATTGTAGGTGTGGCTGTGAGCATGCACAAATGTAGCTGAACAAGGTCCAAAACTAGTTGCACAAATCCGCATGTCACCATGCTTTTGGGATGTGATATCATTATGATGGAAATGAGAGTTTCTTACAAGATTTGTTACAGAGTGGCACTGAAATCTACTTCAGAATAGGAAAGTGAGAGAAAAACTAAGAGTGTCTTTCCATGTACAGCTTGTGAAGAATCCAGCGCTCTTTGATGTATTGGTGATGCCTAACCTTTATGGTGATATTATCAGTGACCTTTGTGCTGGATTAATTGGGGGACTGGGATTAACGCCAAGGTATCTACTTATTTTTTCCCTTCTCATGTTCCTTCTATAATTTATATTAGTCGTCTCAACTTATTTAACCTCCTGCACAGCTGCAATATTGGTGAGGGAGATATTGCTCTTGCTGAGGCTGTACATGGCTCAGCACCTGATATTGCTGGAAAGGTTTGTCATCGAAGTTGTTTCATGGTTTTTCACTTGTTTCCTTTCCTCCATTCTTATCAATTTGTTATGAGATATGGATTGACGTCTTCATACTTGATTGCTTGTACTTTAAGCACTTGGGAAACTCCTTTCTCGCACTTGGCTTTTGCATGAGTTAGAATTTTTTTTAGCTAAAAGTAACTTAGTTGATTGTTATGATAACAAAAGCTTTTTTCCCTTACCTGGATTTCATTATAGTAAACATCATTGAATTTCTTAGGTGTAGAATAACTTCTCCAAAACTTTGGGTCCTCTTAAGCTACATTTATGTCTGAACTTGCTATCTGGGGATATGCAGAGAAGGCCATTATGTATCAGGAAGCCCTTTCCTACACGTGGGATGAAACTCAATTCAACTGGCTTCCTTTGGGTCACTGCAGTCAGAGACTAAGGAAATTTTAAAAATACTCAGGAAATGCCTTAACATTTCTTTTACAAAACTGGGAGGCACAAAACATACTCTAAATGCCAAGTTGTTTTGTTGTTGGTAGTTCTATTGGGAGTCCTCTGGTTGGAAGTGTCTTTTGTGGTGGTTGAGGGTGCCTCTTGTTCTGTATTGGGTGATCATAATTCAAAAAGTATCTAAATAGATACTTGTTGATAATTTGTCCTTTTTTTTTGTTTTTCTGGTAGATCCAATGACCTAGCGGTGGAGGCACTAGTCAGAAATATGGAAGCGAGTTTCTAGCCTAAAAGTGATCTGTTTGGGAATTATATATGATACCGTGTTTCACCCAGGGACTCCTTATCTTTAGTTCATCTCAATTTTGTTGTTTAGCAAAGCATTTTTTAATTGGAGATCTGTTTGCTTATTAGCTATCTTTGGTGTGGTTGAATTTATGTAGAATATGGCAAACCCCACTGCTTTGCTTTTGAGTGCTGTCACAATGCTGCACCATCTGGAGCTTCATGATAAAGCCGATAGGATTCAGGATGCTATCCTCAAGACAATTGCAGAAGGGAAGTACCGAACTGCTGACCTTGGAGGCACTTCATCAACTACCGATTTTACAAAGGCAATTTGTGATCATCTCTAAAGAATGATCATAAAAATTTGATTTTTGCAATAGGTTCAACAGCAAATTCTTCCTTGTGATGTTCATTTCGGAGATGCTTTAAACCATCTGCAGTAGTTAGCACAGGGATTAAGACTACATCACCTCGTGATTCCATGAGATATCCCCGCTTATGTTAAACAAGCCATGGTAAGATGCTGGCTGAGTTACATGCCTTTGTGTAGAAATACAACATGATTCCATTCGTGGACTCTTTAGAGCAAAGGATCAGAAAAGTTTCTTTCCTCGGCTTACCCGAGTACTTTATGTGGTTGATTAATCCTTCTTTCCCCATATATGAAATAATAGTTTTGTGATGTGGGTTTTTTTGTTTTTTCTCATTTTAATGTTTGAATTCTCTGTTCTGTTCTTCCTATGACTTTCTTTATTTATCGCTACTTCATTTACAGTTGCAATTGAGGCATGTGGGCTGTGGGTAGATAGGACCTCTCCAGATATGCGGAGTGATGTTGCTTCCTGCCTTTGTTGATATATTGTTCATCCCTTCTGTTTCTAGTATGCTTTCCTCTGACTTTGCTAATGAGAAACTTATATACGAAAAAGGTGGATAATTAATATTAATATTCATATAATTAAATATTTTTTAGGTTGAAAATAATTAACATAATACAAGATAAGAAATTATAAAATAAAATGCTAATTTTTTCATATTATATTATTCATATCAAATATTAATTTAACTTATTTATTATTTATGTTGATAATTTATTTTATTTTTGAGTTGGGTTAGGTTTTGAAACCTCATAAAATAGAATATGAGTGTTTAAATTATTGATTATTCGTAAATTTTGATTGTACTCTATTTTATCTGACTGTATTGATCGATTACCCAAAAGGATTAGATAGGTTAACGGAAGATTTTTTGATATTTCTCAAAAAATCAAGTAGAAATGAGAGATACTTACAAAATTTTTGTATTCTTATTTTATTTTACTCGCATATACATATATATACACACACACGCATATATATATATAAATTAAAAAAATCTAAAAATTTAAAAATTCTTTCTTATATATGATGTATTATGTTTATGGTTTTCTTGTTGTTTTTTATTGTAATTATCAAATTTATTATATTTTCTTTAGTGTTAATTAATTAGTACAAGTTATTTAATTAAATTATTAAAATAATTAAAAAATTAATAATTAAAAAATATGTGTTCACTTTATTTTTTACTCAATTTTTTACCCAATTGTTTTAGATGGAATTTGGATAGAAATAGTATATTTTGGGGAGGGGTTTGGATTGATTTGTTTAAACTATGAGATTCAACATTTAATGTTGTGGTATGCGCACGGATATATGACTAATATGATAATATATTTGTATTTAAATAACTATTGTGCCTCTTAACTAATTTAATCAAAACTCATGTTTGTTTAGGTATAAAATTGATTTGTTAGCTTAAACCCATTAACCCAGGTATGAAAATCACCCCCGGTGGATTTCATGAAATTCATAAACTTGGGTTTAATTATCGGGCATAAAACAGACCGAGTTTCAAACTATGAACTAATTATTTATGGGTTCTTTGGAAGTCGGTACACCTAATTAGATTTATTTAGCAAAAAGTACATAAAACAAAATTTGAGTTGCAAAGACACAAATACTCATTTTAGGGTCATTTAATTCAAAATCTCTTATTTTTAATACACATTGATTCATGTGTGTTTGTTAATACATATAAATACGTATTTAATGCATCTTGATTCATCTTTGTTAATACATGTAAATATGTATATATATATATACACACACACATACGTATAAACAAGTATATATATATATATATGTAAACAAATTTATTATCTTTATATTATATATATGTATATTTTATTATATATATATATATATAATTATATATATATATATATGTTAAATCTTTTATCTAAATTTTGAATTATCTTTAATGCACCTTAATTTATGTGTTTTTTTTTTTGGAAAGTGATTTTGTTTTAAATTATATTTAATGCACATTGATTCAAGCGTTTATTTTTTTTTTTTTTTGGGAAAATATTTTTATTTTCAAATTAATTTAATATCCAAATAATGTAATAGTGTAACAATAATAGTATAATAAATACACTGTAACAAAAACAATGTTCAGTAGTTTTGTGTATGTGGTAACAAATTCAAAACAGAGATGACTACGCTATTTCGAATGAAATTATATGTTTGACAAAATGTAATAGTACAATATTTTGTGTAAATAACTTGTTACACTGTTATTGTTACATTGTTATTATTACATTGTTATACTTTTATTGTTACACTGTTTTGTTACACTATTATATTATTTGGATATTAAATTAATTTAAAAATAAAATCACTTTGTAAAAAAAAAATGCATGAATTAAGGTGCATTAAAAGATAATTCAAAATTTAGATAAGAGATTTAACAACAAGTATATACATACATAAGTATATATATATACAAACAAGTATATATATACGTATACGTATTTATGTGTGTGTGTGTTTATATATATATATATATATATATATATATATATATATAAGTTCTCTCATAAAATTAGAAGATGTTTAATGTACCACTTTTAAAAAAAAATTGGTGCATTAAATACACATGGATTAATGGAGGACAAAAGTGTCACAAAAAAATCAGTAAAATTCAAATAATGTACTTAGATAAAATAAATATCAAAATTAACAACTTAATTACCCAATATTTTTTTCTATATACTTTTTTACAATTAAGTTTAATTTAGTGTACCTCCTTCCAATTTTTCCATTATTTATTTACCAAGCAGACCCTAAGGGCCCGTTTGTTTTGAGTATTAGAGTGGTATAAGGAGGTGGTGTTAGAAAAATAGTACGTGAGACTCATCTTATACGTTGTTTGTTTGACATTTTATAGTCAGTACTATTTTCTGGATCGTAATACTGACTCGCTATGAATAGTAGCCATAATGTCTTATAGAAGATTTTAATGAATACCACCTAGAGGGTGGTATTATATTCTTGGTATATGTATTATAAACTAAAAAGACCAAAATATCCTCTGCTATAATTTCCATATAAAAACCTAGTCGTACTTTTTAACTTTTTAAATGTTAAAATTATCTTTTACATTGGTTAGCCGTAATTATTAATTTTTTTAAGTAGGTATTACACAGATAATATTTGTGATAAATAAACAAAAAGAATAATGAGATTATAGTTTAACATCGGATATAATATACTATTGAATTAAAATAAAATAAATATAAAATTTTATACTACATAAATATTATCCTCGAAACAAAAAGTAGAATGTAAATCCATGATTCACGAGGCGGGGTTGGTGAGAGATTGAGACAACACTGAGATCCCGATACGATATAAAGGTGAGAATTATATTTTGTACTCAAAATTTTATGAATTTGTTTTTATACTCTTAAAATTAATTTTTTTATATTATACCTTCTAATTTATTGAAAGCGTTAAAATGTGACCCTTATTTTAGTTTTTGTTATTCATTGCATCAAAAATCATCACATGGATATTGAGAAAATAAGCGATTGCAATACTTTCAATGTATTAAGGGTATAATATAAGAAATATAATCTTTAAGAGATTAAAGTGAAAATTCTCTAATCTTTGGGGGTAAAAAGTGCAATCGCCCTAAATAATAAACTAAACCACGAGCATAAAAGTACTATTCTCTCCTCCTCCAGATCTAAATCTGGTAGCCTACTTACTTCCCTCGCCAGCCACCAACTCACCACTGCCACTACCTATATCTGTGTATCTTCGTCTCCATAAGCAAGATTGTCCGATCATCTTCGTCCGCTCTAGCTCTCGCTTCGACGATTCAACCTCCGGCAATGGAGTACGATGGAATTCTGTTGGGAATGGGCAATCCACTCTTGGACATCTCAGCTATTGTGGATCAACAACTCTTGGACAAGTACGGTCTCGAACTCCTCTTTCTCTGATCTCGATCTCTGATCTAGGTTTATGCTCCAATGCATAAATATTACTGTTTTAGTCTTTTTTTTTTTGTTAAATATTTGCTTGTATTTGTATGCCTGTTATGTATTCAGTCTGAAAATTGTAGAATAATTGTTATTCCTATGTTTTTTGATCCATTTTGAGCTCTGGCTTTGCGTTATGTGTTTCCACGGTTCTGTAGAACTGTTGTAGGAGAATCTATCCGTCTAGATATTTAGGTGACTATATGGAATGTTTTTTAATATTTTGTACTTCGGGCTGTCTTTGCAGATCTTAGGTTTAATGAAGATATCATACTTGTTTGATGCATGTATCTTATGTTGATCAGTGTGTGCATCTATTTAAATATCTTGGATTTTCAATTTGGTTTTCGTCAATCGTCCCCATTTTGTCGACATTGGCAGCTATGTGCTTACAAGCTCATTGGTTGTCCGTATGTATCTCGTAAAGTTGTCGAATCTTATTATGAGTATGAGTAAATTTCATTTCATTCTGTATTACAATTTACAAGTGAATTTCATCAGTTTGAAATGTAATCTGTTTTGTTTGGCATAACAGATATGATCTCAAGTTGGACAATGCAATTCTTGCAGAGGAAAAGCATGTACCTATGTAAGTAACTTCTTTTGGATATAGTTCTGACTGATATATTGGTAGATGTGTTAGTTTAGTACACTGACTCTATGGCTTGTAAGCTTGTCTCCTATCACATCCTATTTGATGTTGTGTTTCATAAACTATATTACTCCCTCCGTTTCTAAATATCTATCATTTAAGGTTTTTGCACAAGAATTAAGGAAGTTATTAAATAACTCTAATATGGGTAAAAGATAATTACACAAGACTAAAATACCTTATTCAATACGTATTGAGAAGGAAAATAATATGAAAGACACTTAATATATTAAGCACTTATTGAAAAATAGAGATAAGGGTAAATTTGAAAGAAAAAATATTTATTATACTTTGGTTTCGTAAAACGACGGATATTATGGGACAAAAAAAATTATGTAAAACGACAGATATTTAGGAACGGAGGGAGTACTTTGATTCACACAGTTCCAAAACACAATATATCAACAGTTGAATGGTTGTCATTGACATAATCATAAAAAGTTGTAGGTTCCTTACTGTAGGTACTTTCCAGAGATGTCAACAACTTGTGATTTGGATATTGGTTTTGGTTTGCTAAGAAGCATGGACACGTATATGACACAGACACGCGGACACGATATTTCTCCAAAAATTAGGATACGGATACTTTGGGGACACGATATAGATAATTGTATTTTATATATACAATCATATAATTTATCACAAATAAAATGATAATGCTATATTATTCACAGAATTTTCAGTATTTCATGATAAATAAGTGTTATGTCTAGCTATTTAATGTAAATTTTTAGACTAACATCATAATAGTCAATAATAATCAATTTTTTCATAGAAGTGTACTAAACATATATAATTTAAATAATTGCTTTCATTTTTTTAATTGTTATTTTCTAATTCTTTAATATATCTTTTGCTATTGTTATTATATTTTAAACTTTAATATGTCTAGTCTTGGTAATTGTATGTTCTTTCATAATATAACATATGTAGTAGTCAAATTTTTAAATTTTGTTAATCATATGTCAACGCGTGTTTATTGTTTAGTAGTAGATATGGTCTAAAGAAGTATCGAACACGTGTCCGAAATTAAAATTTTATTATTTAATTGTGGACACGAATAAAATAATATCTCACATGTCCCGAAAGTGTTTGGAGAGTGTCGGTGTCCGACACGAATATGCCACCTTTTTGAGAGTATCTGTGCTAGTTTGTATGGAATAAGTTTGATAAATCAAAAATTATCAATTATAGAGCCATGAAGAAAGGACACTATTATACCTGATGATTTTAGTTTGTGTAACCATACCTGAGTGATATGTAGAGTGTAAAACTTAAGAGGTTATCGTCTTTCATGAACATTTTCAAATTAAATAAGATAGCGATGTCCCTTTAAAAAATAATTTGTCATGCGAAAGTTTTCATATTAGGCAATTAAGAATGAGAAGGAGAATACTCATGGACAGTAATTGTTAGTTTGTTTTTATGTAGTATGGCTGCTAGAAATTGTGTTGTTGCTTAGATAGGCTGCTCCAAATAGTAAAAATAGTAAACAACTATTAATTCTGAATTTAATTTGAAAAAAAATGAATGATGGTGAGATCAGTTTAGGGGTATGATCAGTCAGGAGATGAATAACCAAGAAGCTTTTAAGAATGGAGGAAATAGGAACTGGTTCTCTAGGTCATAGTTCAGGTAATGCATACCGCTATGTAGATGGTGAATTGGTTAGAAATTGCTTACATTGTAGTAGATGTTCAGAATTTAAATATCATCTGTGAACTTTGGTTTTTGTTGAATTCTTGAACTCATCTAGAGTGAACATAAAATAAATACTATTCAACAAAGAGGAGAAAAATGATATCCATTTCTTGTTATCAAATTCATACTTTTAAGATGATATATTCAATGGAATAGTATGTAGTATTCTGTGTTGGCTTTGAATTGATTGCTCCATCAATTATTTATCCAATATTTTGCAATTCATTTCTTAGGTATGAAGAAATGGCATCGAAGTACAATGTTGAGTACATTGCTGGAGGTAATTTTGATATTGTATAAATATTTGGTCTGCAAAATGGCTCTTGTAAAATCATACGTGAATATAATTGACAAACAATAATTCTGTGTTGCAGGTGCTACTCAAAATGCGATTAGAGTAGCTCAGGTATGAATTTTTTGTTATAGCTACTTGCAATCCAACAAAATTATCTGATAATTACAGTGCAGTGCCTTGCCTTTTTTGTTTGCAGTGGATGCTTCAAGTCCCTGGTGCAACGAGTTACATGGGTTGCACTGGAAAGGACAAGTTTGGGGATGAAATGAAGAAAAACTCAACAGCTGCCGGTGTTAATGTAAGTTTTTTATTCTTTTTTAAATTTTGTCAATTTATGAATAAGGTCTTTACTCGAATCCTCCTCCTACATGGTCATTAGCATCTTCATCACCATCATTGTCGTTGTTCTTTTTTTTCTTTGTTTCTTTCTCTTTGTTAAAAAAGGTATTTTTCTTCTCCCATTCTTTTGTGGTTTTCAAATCCTAATTTGACATTTTTAGAATAATTAGTGCTATAGCAAAATTCCTTATGTAATTGACACATTGTAATACTCAGGTCCGCTACTATGAGGATGAGTCCGCACCAACGGGTACTTGCGCTGTTTGTGTAGTGGGTGGTGAAAGGTCAGTTTACATATGCCTTTTTGGGATACCTTTTACTGTTTACCTTTTTGTTAGAATAAGTTTCTCCTCTTAGTTTTTGACATCAGAACATAAGATACAATCTTTCACATTTTTTGAGAGCTACAAACTAAATTTTGATATATTTTCCTCTATTATTTATTTATTTTTGGAATGGGCTGCTTCTTCATTGATAGTTAAAATTTGAAAATGTTTGGATATTGCACTTGCCATGCAAATGCAATCTCATCCTTGGTGCAAGGCACTTCAGATTTCAATTTGTTAGATAAGCACTGATTGCAATTGTTGGCTACACGAATGTAAGGGTAAGAATTTACTAAGAAATTCTGTATAAATGTTGTCAGACTTGATCATCCAAACTGTTAGTACGGCTGAAGAAGTGGTTCTCTCTATTTTACTTTATGCTCAAGTTTCTCTATTTTTCCCGTACCAAGTATCATGCAACACCCTTAATATCTATCCTCTTCTCTTTTTCCTTTCTCCTCCATCTTTCTTCCCACTGGACAGAGGTGCATGAACACTTGTCAAACACCACTGGGGTTGTTATATATATGTAAACTGTTCATTTGTCTTGAGGTTGATCTCAGATGCATATTGCTCTAACTATTCTAATTCAGTCAAGAATATTCATTTTTTATTTTGAACATGAAATGTGGGGAAACATTATTAGCATATGCTGGGGATGCACCTGGAAAATAGAAATTTGAAGATTAAATGGATATCACTTTGTTGAAACGCAATGATGAAGTGCTGAGAAAGTTCTTATAGTTAAGAGTTCCAAAAGGAACAAATTGATTGATTAGCCCCATCATTTAGCTACCAATATGGCATTGGATTAGAGAGCAGATTGATGAGCTATATACTGCCACACTCAGGAATTATCTTGTGTTTTCTGATTTGTTTGGCTATCTTCCTATGCAAACATTGATATATATCAAGAATATCTTTGTTGGTCTAAATTTGCCTGTTGTATGTGCATATGAGCTTCCCTGTGTGATCTGTCAAGTCACACGATGGGAGCGTTGGCTTTTGTGATTGACCTATATCTCAGCAAAACACCTAGAGAGCAAATGCTAGAAACAATTGCGCATTACCTCATTATGGGCAATGAGATGCAGGGGAGGTGTGTTCGTTAGGCCTTGGTTTGTGGAGAGCCTAAAATGTTGGCGATCCGTGTGGAGCTCTCAATCTTTCACTCTTTTTTAAAACTGTTTATAACTTGGGTCACAAAAACTATAGAACTCATTGGCACAAAATAGCCCCAAGTGTTTCAGTATTTTTTGGCTTCTTATTCCAGTTGTTAATTGTTAATTAGCTTATGTCCTTGAACATTTTATGAATATGGCAACTAGGATTTCTTATACTTTTGTCGAGCTGGATAAACAAGTTTCGGTGTTAAATATATATGCAGGTCTCTTGTTGCCAATCTGTCGGCTGCAAATTGCTATAAATCTGAACATTTAAAGAGACCAGAAAATTGGGCACTTGGTACTTGTGTTGTTCTTGGCTCTTGTTTTGGCTAGTTATACATTCTTTTGAGCTAAGCTGAGTATATTTTGGCAGTTGAGAAGGCGAAGTACTACTACATTGCTGGATTCTTTCTCACTGTTTCCCCTGACTCCATTCAGCTTGTTGCTGAGCATGCAGCAGCAAACAACAAGGTATACATTTGAAAATAATAGAAGCACCTTCATTGTTGTTTTTCAGCTATCTTCATATGAAACAGAACCAAAGTTTTCCATCCATATGCAGGTCTTCATGATGAACCTTTCTGCTCCATTTATTTGTGAGTTCTTTAAAGATGCTCAAGAGAAACTTTTGCCGTAAGCCCAATGTTCTTTTCTTTTGCTGCATCAATTTAATGAAAATGGTGATATTGAGTTTAGGCTTGCTTTTAGGTATATGGACTTTGTTTTCGGAAACGAGACAGAAGCAAGAACCTTCTCAAAAGTTCATGGTTGGGAGGTAATGATTGCTTGACACGAGATTTTGTACCTTGTTTCTTAACTTTCTTCCTGATTGGACTGCTTTTAATGGTCAGACTGAGAATGTTGAGGAAATAGCTATAAAAATTTCCCAGTGGCCAAAGGCATCGGGCACACACAAGAGGATTACTGTTATCACGCAGGGTGCAGATCCAACAGTTGTTGCAGAGGATGGGAAGGTGAAATTGTTCCCTGTAATAAAGCTACCTAAAGAAAAACTTGTTGATACCAATGGTGCAGGTATGTGCTTTCATGTTGCCCCTGGCAGCTTCAGATGCTTAAAGCCAACATTTTACAGTTTTTGAAGGCTACATCTATTGCACTGATAAGTCAGATAATGTAGGAGCAAGCTCGAGTGCATCTATTGACCTGCCTTGCATATTACTTTATTGTTTCTGTTCTGGCATATCATAGTATGTCCAACAGACTCATACACAATAAAAGTGCATTTAAGGTCTATATACATATTTGTTTTGTAGGGGATGCATTTGTTGGGGGGTTTCTCTCTCAATTGGTTCAAGGAAAACCCATTGACGACTGTGTAAAAGCTGGTTGTTATGCAGCAAATGTGATCATCCAAAGGTCTGGTTGCACATACCCTGAGAAGCCTGATTTTAAATAAGCCGTTTGTGTTCTTCCTGCAGTTCCCTGCTCTGTTTGAATTTTGATTGTTGAGAAACTTAATTTTATATTGTGATATTTGTATTTTGTGGCTCCCTTGGTAGTCACCATAATGGCTGCACCAAGAGGTAGCTTCTAGATCCAGTTATTTGCTCGGGGAGTTTGTTCCGCGTTCCGCCCTCCAGAATTTTTAGATTTTGTCAAGTTACATTATATATATCAGTACTGAAGTAAAATCTAAATCCAATATTTTTGGGACTTACTCGGATCAGCATACCATATGCTGCACAACAGATGTGTAAGTTTGAGTTGTTTCTTATCTGATTCATCAACCCATTGAATGAATAATCCTGGTAATTCTGCTCGAGAGGGCTGAATGCCATAACTCTGATACCCCGACTTAGTTTGAAAAATCCGTTTTGATTCCCGAATGGCAGGTTCTTGGGTCTTGTTAATGGCTATTGTGAGAACTTTTTTTGGCTCTGGATGGTTGAGCATTCTACTATGCTGACTAAAATGCCGCGTGCAGATGATGTATTGAGGTTTCAGTTAGAAGGTGAATTGCTAAACCGTGGTGGAGCCGCAAGAAAGAGATAGGGTAGATCAAGTTCTTCAAGTTGGATTTTGTGCTGTAGACACTGTAATCAGTCCACCATTGGTTGAGAGAGGAAGAGGTCATATTATTATGTTAACGCCACACAGTACATCCAGCGTCTAGGTCCAGTTTTAAATCTGAAGTGCCAATTACTTCCTTCCTTCCCCATAGTCTGTATCACGTAAAGAACAATCCGACTTGCTAAAGGACTTGACAAATGTCTCCTCTGCTGCACTAATGACCATCCAAAACTTTGGGATGATGCTGACTCTGATATTAACGCTCAGATGCCAAAACAATCTTAAATGATATTGGTTTGAGTTATCGAATAGTTTCTCAATACGTGAGATAAATACATATAAATTTGTTTCTGTGTAGATGGTATTTTTGTTTTTTTTAAAGAAAAAACGTGTACTTCAACATCTTCCAAATTAGTAATGTTGTCCTACCCGGCTATCCTAACCACTGGACTGATCATTTTCTAGATTTGTAGACTCCATTTAGTTGGCATTTGAACTTGCTTTATAATTCTCAGTGTTTGACGTTATGTTCACAGGTTCATTTTGTTTCATGCCAAATATAATTTTGTCTTGCTTCGTTGTTCGTACTGTTTTGATCCAAATTACTAATGTTGTCCCAATGGACATGTTAAAAGATTGTTGCTCCAAAATCTGTTGGAATTGTTAGGTGATTGTTCAGAATGGGTTTAAATGTCTTGTTTAAGGACTTCTTTGGATGAAAACACTGAGGATTCTCATTGTGCAAAGACTAAATTAACACAAAGAGCTAATAAAAGAGAATTTTTTTATTAATCTAGTCGAAGCAACTTTGACTACAAGAGACTAAATAAAACAATCTTGATTATAACACTGATTGTTTCTTAAACTATCCTAAAATTACTCTTAATAATACTCAAATCATCGGTCTTTTGGGTGTTTGAATGTGTTTTGTCTTTTCTATTGAATATATTTTTTATAATTATTTCCCTCGACGATTTTCTCTCTGTCGACGGTTACCTAATGGTAACTCACAATTGGTTATCTCTTTCTTTTCAAATGTGGTTATGACTGTCACGCTCTAATTTTCATTAAAGTGCGATTTAATAACAAGAGATATTTAATCAAAATTCTCTTGCCGGTTTATAATAATAATTGAATGAAATAAAACATTTTGTTTTATCAAAACAAATTTGATTTTTTTTTTAAAAAAAATTTCAATAGAGTTTTTTTTGAAAATTGGGCTTCCAACCATCTAGTAAGAACATCCCTGTAAGAGCATAGCATAATTTAAACTAACTAAATATCCACAACATGCGTCCATCAAAAATATAATTCAACTAAATCTGGGGTGGCAATTAGAGGCCCATGAAGTCCTCCCAAATCCGGATACATCCAATACCAATATATACAATTTAGTATACAAAGTTATAACTTTACATTATAATACCAAAAATAATAATCCCTCTATGAGATGATCAAGTGTACACCATAAAAGCCTCAAGAAAACCTTTTCAAACACAATATTTGAGTGCTAACATATCTACATAAGTTCTAAAGGTAAATACAAAAAGGCTTCAAAAGATATTCTTTCTAATCCAAGCTCCCACAAACATTCCATCACCTATGCCCTAGGATGTATGCTAGTCTCTGAAAATATTAGTACGGAATAAGCAACCACAATTCAGTAGGATAATCCTTTTCCCAAGCATTTACAAAGTTTTAAATATCAACATTTCACAAACCATACGAATAAATAATGAAAGCTTTCTACAATTAAATTCAGGTACAAGATAATAAGTAAAACATTTATAAAAAATCTCTCAACACCTCATCCTTAGAAATATATAAAGTATAAATTAAATGTTTATTTATTTAAAGTCAATCCATCATAGTAAATATCATGCATGCCTCGGATACGAACAATGTAATCAATCACACCGATTCACGCATGAACTATCTCTAGGGAACCTTATGGGTCTTGCACCCTAGGGTCTAATCGCCCTACTTGTTTTTCAAGGGGAACATGTAGAACACAACTTGTGACGCCACATAAGCCATCACCAAAAATTACTACCAAAACCAATCCCCTTAGGACTAGTAACCGCCTTGGCAATCCCCTCAATAGGCCCCAACCGTCTACTAACTCTCTGCCTGTCAGTATCAAGCATATATTTTTTAAAAATTATTATTTTTTATATCCATAAATCCTTTTGTAAATACATTTTATAACCTTGATATTTTATCAAACATATAGTAGGTTCAAATCTCAAAAATTGCATTTTCAAAGCAACATAACCATTTTCAAGAGAATAAACCATATATATTATGTACAAAGTCATAGCATACTTCAAAATCCCCAAATCATAGGTTTAATCAAATACATATAGCTAAAATTAAACTAGAGTTTCAAACCCACAACACTAAAATCATTTTCATTTCCAAGAGAATAAGTCATATTATGTATAAGATCATAACAGACTTCAAAACCCCCAATCCATAAGTTTAATAAAATACTTATAATTAACATCAAACTAAAGTTTCAAACTCACAACACTAAAATTATTTTCATTTCCAAGAGAATAAGTCATATTATGTACAAGATCATAACATAATTCAATACCCCTAAATCATAGATTTAATTAAATATCCATAACTAAATCAAACTAAGGTTTCAAACTCATAACACTAAAATCATTTTTACAACACTAAATCAAGATTTATAACAAATATTTTGCCATCAAACACATTGTAAGCTTTAGCTAAAGAAAATACATGAGATGTACAATGTAAATTCAAGAGAGAGGAAAACTCTACCTAAAAATCAAGAATTTCAAGCTAAGTTCTTAGAATTTTCAAGAAAAACTCAAGCTTTATAGACCTTTTTCTTCTTCCCTTTTCTCTTTCCCTTTATCTTCTCCTAGGGTTCTAAGAGGTATTGGATGAGAGTGAAATGAAAGAATGAAAGAAAAGGGGCTGAAATCTGGATTTTAAACCCAGCAGTCCCGATTTTTACTGTTCATGGGGAAAAAAAATATATTTTTTTCGAAATTACGGTTTTACCACTAAACATTCCAATTTGATCTATATGACTATCCTAAGGTTTTTCGATATTCCGGATTCATTTTTAATATTAGTTTAGCCTTAAAAACATTTAGTTTTATGATTTATCTCAAAATTAAAGTCAATTTATACCCAAAAAAACTAAAGTTACCATTTACCTCTCTAAACTGTTATATGCGCTAAATGTTTATTCCAAGGTTTTTCGACCTCCCAGATTCAATTGTAATGTTATTTTGACCTAAAAAAATTAATATATTTACTTAGTTACCCTTATCAATCTTAAACACCTTCAAAAATTAATTTTTACTAAAAAGTCAATACGTCCGTACCTCAAATTTACGTGACTGTTCCTTTAACAACGATTCAAAATTTCTCTCATCATTTTAATCATTTAAAAGAAATACTATCAATTTAATATCATTTATATTTATATAAAACTATGAGATCTCACAATGACTAATCATGGCCCGCATTTTTTCAAATTCTACCACATGGCACGTCCATAGTAAATCTAGGGATGTCAAGTGTTAATACATTGATATTTATGAAATTTTATATTTTAGGCCCAAACAACACCAAATATTCAAAGGTGTAAAAAGATCAGTCGCAAGAATACAAAAATAAAAAAAGTGGAGTAGCTCCTACGATGCTTTCGCCCAGGGGAAAGAGGGATTGTAACGACGAAAAAGAAATGAGGGATTTGGAAGTTGATCCCTAGGTCCAATAGGATTTCAAAAAAAATCCACTCTCCAAATTTTTTTTTGGATTAGATCCCTATTGGAAAGTTAAAGCAATTGACATAACTAAAGCCCTTTCCAACTGTAAAAAATAATGTCAATGTCATTACCTAATTTAAACACTTAGTCTAAAAAATTACTCACATTTTTCTCAACAAACGCAAATCGAAAGACAGGTACACTAAAAAAATAATAGGTGCACAGTAAAAAAATACAAAAAAAATGGTATGCAATAAAAAAATTGGGTAAGTAATAAAAAGAATAAAAAATAACAGGTACGCAATAAAAAAATAACAAGTAAGCAATAAAAAATAAAAAATAACAGGTACGCAACAAAAGAAATAACAAGTAGGCAACAAAAAATAATAGGTATGCAATAAAAAAATAACAAATAATAGGTACACAAAAAAAATAAAAAAATAATAGGTATGCAATACAAAAATAACAGGTACACAATAAAAAAAATAAAAAATAATAGGTACGCTAAATATACCCAAGTCGGCAACTCCAATTTATAAGAAACCCACAAATCAAAAAGAAAGAGGAGCACGGAGCAAAATCAAAAGAAAAACCCAGAAAAACTACTCCCCAATGCATCTTTTCTTTCCAAAATCAAACCAAATAGAGAGGAAGAAAGATAGAAGGTTCTAATCGAATCAATCTTCCTCATCATCGGTGGAGGATTTGATGAATTCCTATGAAGATAAGTCACTGAGAATGACTTCTATAGCTTCATAGGCACCGAACAGATTTTCAATTTGATCCAATTCACCTTCAACCCCTTCAACTCAAAAACTCATGCGATCACTGAGTGGAAACATATCAAGTGATCGTAGAGATTGTTTCAAGAGAGAGAAATGGAGAACTGCGTGCTCTTGATCAAGAATGAATAGGAGAAGGGGATCGTGATGTCTTTCATTTTGGCTCACTCGCACCTCTCAAATTTAGTCTAATATCATGTGGTGGGAGAATGTCACGCCCCGAATTTCCACAAATCTGGGGAGTGAGTGAAAAGGAAGAAGAGAATTAAATGAAAGGTTATTAGGTTGGATAAATTAATGTGTCATTCATTTCCCACGTTTACACCCTTACACTTTAAAATGACCCAAGGTCTATCTATTACTTTTCCAAATTGAAATACAAGTCATTTGGGCTTATGCCCATAAATACAAAATATGCCCCAAGGCCAAATATCCATTCAAGCCC